GGTTAATCACACCAAACTTGATTGCAGGAAATACGGCTTCAGCAACAGAGTGGTCAATGTCTGGAATACTCTACCTGACTCTGTGTATTCTTCCCTAAACCCCAAAAACTTTAACCTTAGACTGTCTACTATTGAGCTCGCCCCTTTCCTAAGAGGTCTGTAGGGGGCGTGCATAAGCGCACCAATATGCCTACCTTCCCTGTCCTATTGTTTCTTTTATTTTTATTTTTTTATTTTTCTTATATGTATCCATGTATTCATAACTATGTTTTTACTTATACCTATTATCTTGTAAGCAATTGACAAAAATAAATAAATAAATAAATAAATAAATAAATAAACAAACAAACAAACAAACAAACAAATAAATAAATAAATAAATAAATAAATAAATAAATATTTATTACAAGTATTTTTTCACCTATCTCACCACGGGACAGCTTTACGCACAGGGGTGAGATGCTGCCGGTGTGACAACCGGTTTCCCTGACGCACGCTGCGTATGCGTGAATAGCAATGCAAAAATCCTTACCTGCTATGTTACTTTGGGGGAGTAACACAGCTGAGGAGCAGCAATCCACTCTTCTGAGCTAATCAGCTAGGACAATAAAGGTCAGTACAAAGCAGGGTTAGGCAGGCGAGCCCACATGGTCATCAGAAGTTTCATTCCCAGGTGATCTACGGAGTTTGGAGTTCACCCAAACTGGTCCGAACTGGCAGAATCCCACCCCTGTTTATGCAGTTTACAACCATTGAAAAGAAAAAAATGAAGAGAATGTGAAAAGAAACAGAAGTAAGATAATATAGCAATAAAATAAACAATGAAAACAAACAGAGTAAGAAATCTTCTTTGTGATTACCAAAAAAAGAAAGATGGACAGATGGAGAACAGAGGGCTGGGGGACTGGTGTCTGCCAGCAATCCAGCAGCCACCTCCAGTATGCAACTCTCTCTTTAGACACCAGCTGACAAAGCCAAAGTCTTTAGGTCTTTTATTAATTGAGCAGCATCTACACTGATTAACCAAGGTTAAGAACTGTTCTTCAAAGTCCTTTTTTCCCCTTTCTCTCAGTCTCTCTGCCTTTTCTCTTAGTTCACTCAACTTTATCACCTGAAGGATTGAAGTATGGAATCCACACATTGTAGTCAGTCTGATGTTGGACATACTGGTCCATTCATTCTCATGTGTCTCACAGAGTTTCAGAACTGAAGGTGGTCACTTCCCTGATTAGAAGATGCTCATTTCCATCCACAAGCGTCCTTCAAAGCTGTTTTCACCTGGCTGTTTCTCAGGCTGTAAATGAAAGGGTTAAGCAAAGGAGAGACCACATTGTTCAGGACACCTACCGTCTTGCTGAGGTCCAGCCCGCCACTTTGCGTAGGCTTGACGTACATGAAAATGCAGCTCCCGTAAGTGATGAAAACTACCACAATGTGAGAAGCACAAGTGGAGAAAGCCTTTTGCCTGCTCGTCCCAGAAGGCATGTGCATGACAGCTGCAATGATTTTAATGTAGGAAATGATTGTGATGGCCAGGGTCCCCAGCACAGTAAAGGTGGCCAAGAGAAAATCCATCAGTTCCAGAAATTGGGTGTTGGTGCAGGCAAGCTTGATCAGTGGCATGTTGTCACAGAAGAAGTGATTGATGATATTTGGACCACAGAAGGGCAAACGAAATAACAGAATAAGGGGTATTATGACATAGAGGAAGCTGATAACCCAAGATCCTATTACTAACTGAGTACACAACTGGTTGTTCATGATGACTGTGTAGCGAAGGGGGTTGCAGATGGCTATGTAGCGGTCAAAGGACATGGTGGCCAGAATAAAGAATTCAGCGGTGCCCAAAATAAAATAGAAAAAGGCCTGTGAGAAGCATCCCGCAAGAGCAATGGTGGTGCTGCCTGAGGCCAAGTTAAGCAGAGCCTTTGGGATGGCAGAAGAAATAAATCCTATTTCCAAAACAGAAAAGTTCCGGAGGAAAAAATACATGGGGGTATGGAGGCGATGGTCAACCAGGGTGATGTAGATGATGAGTAGATTTCCTATGGTGGTCAAAAGATAAATGAAAAGGAGGACCCAAAAAAGGAGAATCTGCAGCCACCGGATATGGGTGAAGCCTACAAGAATGAACTCAGTTACCATGGTTGTCTTGTTCAATATTTCTGCCATTCCATTATGCGTTATTTCTGGGACAAAATCTTTAGAAAAATGGGGAAAGGTTTGATGCATCCAACCTTTCCCTCAGAACATTTAAAAAAAAATCCTTTTAAAGTTGTAGTGATCAATAAGAAGAAGAAAAAAAACAGAATTATTGGGAGAACTGTTAAATTTACATTATAGAAAATGCTAGTAAGAAAGTCTACAACTATCAGTAGAGGAAAGTGTTGTTGGAGAAACAAAATAACGCAGATCAGAGTGGGAAAATCTTTCCAAGCCCTTTTCCTATGAAACCTCCAATTTTTGTAAATTGGGAAATAGATGCCCATGTCTTTGAAGGTTTTCTTGTAGGTTCCTTTTAATGCTATTCCCATGTTAATTAAAGACATTAACTTGTTAATTTGTTGATAAGCAACACTGGTTCTTGGGAGAATTCATTGTCTCTATGAAAAAAAGTTCATCTGATTCTTCTAAAACTTAGACAATCTTCTCAAACCATTAGGAGTCAATCCTCCAAGGCAGACCAAATTTGATGACCAAAGACAGCAAGCTGATTGACCAATCCAAAGCTAAGAATGGTTATTCTTTGTAGCTGTTTTCTTTATTGTTTCACATCTATAGAAAAAATCTTGCCAGTAAACTACTATATGCAAACACTTGTTCTGACCCAATTCCTAAACATGACAAACCATCTGTAGTTAACTAAATGTTCCCTTTATTAGGAGTGCTAGTAGCCCCGGCAAAGAGTCGTTCTTTCTCACATACAACAGGCTAAGGCTAAGTCTGTCCAGCAGGGAGATGAATAGTTGTCTGCCACACTTATTCATCTCTGTCTCCTGCCTTTTATCCCCAGAGCTAGGGTGAGGCTTCACAAGCAGCAGTGGCTCTTCCATCCCAAGGACCGGCCCATAGATTTCCACTGCTCTTCTCTCCCCTGTCTTCTGCACAGCCATATGTCAGGCACTGGACTCAGTGTTCCTCTTCTTCCTCATCAGCCACCTCGAGACCTGAGGACTGTTGACTTTCCCTCTGAGGGCTGATTGACAGCCCAGGATCTGCCTCTGTCTCTCTGACAGCTCCATTCCCTCTTCCCCTTTGGAACTCTAAGATTGCCTTAATGCTGGCCCTGATTCGCATGCCACCTCTTCATCTGATTCGGCTGGCAGCCGACAGGCCACAACAACACTACTATATGCACTACTATATTGAGGTACAAGTTTTCAATCTCTTTCATATGTAATACCTGGACTAAGTTGTCTCTTGCTGTTCTGGAATATCACCTCTCCCTCCTGAGAATCTACCTCCTTAATGGATTCCATCACACTAATAATCTTTTGATTATAAGATGGCAGTAATAGAATCTTGCAAGTCTGAATGCATATTGCAGTCACAGCTTTATTCCATATAGTATCAACCTTGTGAACACACAAGTTTCCTCTTTCCACTAAGTGTTCAAAATGGACAGTGATTCAGAAGACAAGAGCTTTGAGGTTGCCTTAGGTGAAGACATTTGGCCTAGGAGGTCATATAGTATGAAACCAGATGTCTTTTGTAAACTCACAATGGACGGGTGGGCAATTGTCTCTTTCCATTATTCTTAACCAGCAATCCGTACTTCAGGAATTCAGCTTTTGATGTTTATCAGATGTCTTAGTCCCTAATTACCATGTCCATTATGTATTCTCAAGTCCATTTCTAAAACTATCTCAGTGGGGATCATTACATCTGAGATCAGCACAGGTCATAGCTGTACAAAGCATCTTAAGAAGTTCAATTTGAACACCTGCTACAGAGTCATGTCAATAGCCAATCATCTGGAAAACCCAATCCTTTGTCTCAGTTCAGTCCGCAAAGCATCTTGCACTTGTCTGTTCCTCAAACAGTATATGATGGGGACTAGAAGAGGACTGACAACTGTATACAGAAGAGCCACCATTTTGTTGTAGTCAAATCCATTGGTACCTTTTAGCTTGATATACATGAAAATGCAACTACTGTTGATAAGCAATGATGAACATGGTCAGTGGTGGGATTCAATTTTTTTTTTTTACTACCGGTTCTGTGGGCATGGCTTGGTAGGCATGGCAGGGGAAGGATACTGTAAAATCTCCAGTCAAAAGTGGTATTTGCTGATTCTCTGAACTACACAAAATTTCCACTACGGTTCTCCAGAACTGGTCAGAACCTGGTGAATACCACCTCTGACCACAGTCACGTGAGAAGGTTTTCTTCCTCCCTGTAGCTGATGGGAGGTGCAGAATGGGGGAAATGATATTGATATAAGATGCAATGTTGACACTTAAAGTCCCAAGCAGAAAGAATATGGCAACTACAAATTGATTCATTTCTAGGAAGCTGGTGTCAATACATACCAGTTTAATCCCCCTCCTTTTCCAGCAGAGTATAATAAGAATTAATTTAAAAAGGAAGAAAATATTTAAAAAAAAAAGACTAAAAGGGAGTCTCTGGCTTAATATATTATAAAATCAAAAAGGGGAAAGAAAAGAGTAGATAAAAAAAAGGAAAAAACCAGTCCAGTTTCGAAATATAGGATCATCAGCAATAAGAAAAAAATATATATTACTTTGACATTCCTGTTTAAAATCGCCGCTTATTCACTTCTGTCAAAAAACTTTTAAAGATTCTTGGACTTCCGGTTTTCAAGGTTTCGGCGGCGGCAGGGATTCGCGATACTGCGCGATCCCTGCTGCGTTCGCCGCCAAGGTTCCCCCGATCCGTTTGGATCTGGGGGATATAGCTGCCCTGTAGAGGCAGCTGAAGACAGGGGGATCCGGACAGGGGTTTGGGGGTGTCGCAGACCCCCTCCCCAGCTGGCAAAACCCTCTTCTCCCAAGGCAGAGGAACGGCGGTCAGCAATGGCCGCCATGAAGAAATCTGCAGCCGGACAAGCAGGTGCAGGAGGGAGAAAGCTGGAAGAAATATGAAAGCTGCTTCCAACCGGGACAAGGCAAGAGAAAGTGACCTGGAATCTTGAAGGCTGCTAAGTATACATTGTTTCTAGTGAGAGTTACAAGCTGCGAATTCCTAAAAGGGAAAGTTTTTTTTTTTTTTCGTTTCACTCTCCTTCCTAACGTGACAGCGGATGGGAAAAAATTTTTTGGCTGTGAGTGGGAAGGGAGAGGAAAAAAAATATTGGAGCAAAATTTGAAAATAAGGAGAAGATTGCCTAGAACTTTAAAGAGTTGCTAAACATCTAAAAGATATATTTTAAAGGGAACTTTGTGATTAAACTTTTACCCCAGAAAGAGAAAGTGAAGAAGGAGAAGGTATTTAAAAGAAACAGCCTGTTTGGATTGTTTGGTGATTTTGGAACTTTTGAGAATTATTTTTGATTAAAAACATCTGGGTGGTTGTTTGGAAAAACTTTTTCTCTACACAATGGCATCATTTGTGGATGGACTGAAACTTGTATATCAAAAATATGAAAAAGAAAAGCAAGAAGAGAAAGATGTCCTCTTTCAATATTTAGACATGGCGGTTTATACTTATGTAAAGCTGAATGAGCAACAGGATGGTGGGGACAAAGAAGAAGCCATCTTTGATGAACAAATAATTTTGGTCAGAGAAGGGAAAAAGAAAGAGAAAAAGGAAAAGACGACTTTAAGATCTGGAAAAACAACCCAAAAAGAGAAGAATAAAGTGAAAAGGGGACATTATGTTAGGAAACAACAGAAAGAGGGAAAACAGAAGAAAAGGGAGGTGGAGAGACAAGGGGTTAAAGAGGACAAAGAGAAGAAGAAGCAAGGGAGAAAGGAAGGGATGAGAAGCCTTAATGGTGGGGAGCAAGATGTGAAGAAGCAAAAGTTTTTTAGAGATAATGGATAAATTTTACTGAAAAAGGGATTCTAGAAAGGACATAAGATTGCATTTTTATATTTGTATTTAGAAATAGCCATAGAAAATTGGAAATAATATGTAATTTAAAATGTGATAAAATATTTAGTATAACCTAGTGAAATTTTTGTTAAGAAAAAGGGAGTACTGTAATGAAATATGATTTAAGATATGTGACGTGGGGGGGGGGGAATAATTTTGGATAGCATAAGTGTTCCCACAAAGGCATGATATTTAATTGAAATGAGTAAAATGTTTAAGATATAAATGATTGTTAATATTAATGATTAGACTATGTTATCCTAGTGAAACTTTTTGTAAAATGAGAGATTTGAAGTAGAAGAAGGAGGAACATTGTAATGAAATAATGAGCTATAATATGTGATGTGGGGGGGAATAACTATGGAAAATAGGTGCTCCCATAAAAGTATGTGATTTAACTGAAAAGTAATGTGTTAAATGTTTAAGATATAAATGAATATCAATATTAATGAATAGATTTGTATTGGTTTTGATATCATAGTATAATTTTAGAATGTACCAGACAGAATCCCAATGAAAGTTATGTGTTTTATATTAAGTATTATAAAGATAGGGGAAAGAGATAAAGGCATCATACTCCATTTAGTGTATAGGAGAAGTTCTTTTTCAAAGAAGAAAGATAAATGGATAGCTGGAAATAGAACAGACAAAGAATAATAAATATTATGATTTGAATTGAGAGGAGATAAATAAAATAAAATTGAGAAAATTTAAAAGAGAGGAGAAGCTATATAGAATATTGAAAATGTTAATAAGATATGAAATGGTATGTAAAATGAATATGAATTTGAATTTGTGTCTGTACCAAGAGTTTTAACCCGGGACCAAGCAACTTTCAGAAAAGAGATCTTTTATGTTTTTATGTTTTGTGTTTTTGTGTATTTATGTTTTGTATGTCTTTAAAAATTAATAAAATTTGTTCAAAAAAAAAAAAACTTTTACAGATTCTTTCTTTCCCTTAGGGTGTCCTCTCAAATCTTTAAATAAAGAAAAGTTCTCATCAAACCGGCACACTTTCTCTTTCATTCTCTTTCATTTCGGAGCTTTTCTCAACTTCAGCAGCTTTAATGGCTGCCTCTTTGCCACTGGCAAAAAGAGCTTCTCCTGGATCTACC